CTAGCAACTTGTTCCACCTACCAGTCTACATGAGATGCAGATCCCTGACTAGCCCCTATCCTCTGCTACAGAAGAGGATTTTGAAGCTGTGGAACAGGAACTTTCAATTGTGGGAGAGGAACCAAGAGGACCTCCAGGTGTGGGCAGAGAGGAGATGCATTCCAGTTCAGATCTTGTTGATGCTGTTGGAGACTCCAATGCTGAAGGTCTTTCTGCCTGCCACCCCAGAGCCTTCCAGCAACAACATCAAACCAGAACTGCACTCACCTGTAGAATCTGAACAACCGAGCCCTGAATCGGAACCACCTTTGCGTAAATTAACCCATTCAAGGAGATCACCTACTCTGTCATTATGTCATGGGCTGACCAGTGTTTGTTCATATGCCCTTGAAGAGACTGATGATGAAAGCCTGACTGCTCCTTGTACAATCCAGCCAACCATGAGTAGTCAACCTGTTCCATGTATGGGGTCGTATATGGAGTCAGGGGGGAACATGTAATCCATGTGACTGCCTCGACCAAACCCTTAAAGTTCTGGAATCATCATGAGTTTTCCCATTTTTGAATGCTGCTGCTTACTGAGACTGTAGTCGCGTCTGTTGTTCACTAAAACAACTCGAAACCAACACATTTACATTGACTCAACATGCTCACCAGGTTGTAGTAGCTGTTGTAGTTAACCTTTGCAACTCTTGAAACTTCTAATACTGTATCAACCTCCACGAAAAATTCATTACTCGATGGTCAGATTTATTTTTGTATCTGATGACTTGATGACATGGCGAGCTACCCAAACGCCACCAGGTGGTAGGAAATCAAACCATGCTCTGCACTCAGGAACACAAAAGGAAAAATTCTTGTTCCTAACTTCGGACTTTTGTGGGTTCTACCAACTAAATAAAGACTTTAGTCAGACTTGCACATCCAAGCCAGCATTACATTTTAGTAAATACAGCTGCTTTGGCTTTTGCCTCTTTTCCGTAAAATCCCGTCATCTGCAAACAATGACATTCCAATGCTCTGATCAAAATCATAAAATACATCATGTATTATGATTTAAAAGTATACTTGACTAACAATACTTCCTTGCAGAATACCATTTTCAACTATATACTCTGATTTAAACTCGGCTCCTACTCTAGCACATCTTCACCCATTTGAAAAGTGTATTTAGCTTAATGAAAAGTCCTTGCTTCCACATCATGTGAAATGGCTCCTCTATATCAAAAATACTAAACAATTAGACTTTCTTTACTAGCAAATGCTTTTCTTATCTCATCATCCAACAACATGGCAGGATCAAGAGTACTTCATTTCCTAAATCCACTCTGATATTCTTTATGTCTTTTGTTTCTACATAATAAAGTAATGTTTCATTAATCATTTTCTCCATAACTTCCCTAAATATTGTGTAATTGCTGTTAAATGTTTTTTGTTATGCATGAACAAGTTGATAAAATCTTTGTTCTGTTCAGTTAAGGTCCCAAGGATATTGACCAATGTGCAATTGAATCTCTCCACAGGGTTACCAAGCATCTGGTGGTGGCAGTGTCCCTCAGCAGGAACTGCATTTAGTTTGACTGCTGAGTGGAGTTTTTGGCATTCCAGGCTTGTTGTTTCTGACGAGGCTTTTTTTGTTCCACAAGATTCGGGAATAAATGTGACCATCTTCACCACAGTTGAAGTAGTACCCAGACTTTGGTCTTGTTGCAGACTGAGTGAGGCAAAACTGGTGTTTGACTTGGTTTGTCATGACTCAAGTTTCACATTAGCTGGAATCTTTCTGACATTGCAATTGTTGAATTTGTTTCTTCAAATCTTTCAACTCTTCGTTCATGGTGCTGTCATGACCACAAGAACAGGCACCCTGAGACTGGAGTCTCACTTTTGTTTAGATTAATTAATGTGCTTTTTTATTAGGGAGTCTTTGGCAAATGCTCAGTCCTCTTCTGCCCACAGTGACAACAGCTCAGAAAAAGAGGATGGATTTCTTTTTCTCCTCAAGCTGCAACTTAGCAATAACAGAATTGTCCCAACATCCATGACAGAATTGTTTGATTGAATTTGTGTCTTTGTCTTGTCTTAATATTCTTCCTCTTTTTACTGCTGTGCAAAGGGTAAGTTGTAATAGCTGCAGATAGGCTGATGGCTGCTCTCCAGGATTCCACAGAATGTTTAAAAAATGAGCAAGAAACCTGTGAGTCCTGTACGTCTGAAAAGCTTAATCCAGGATTTGTAGATGACTGCATCAGAGTCCAAACGTTTAATCAAGTCAGCAGCTGGTGGTAACAAGCTTTCAACAATTCAACTATTAACATGCAGCAAATAGCAGTTCAATTTGGGCTTGTTGTGAATCATAGACCGCTTCATTACTTGGCTTTGGGATTTTGCCTGAAAATCAGAATCTAAGCAAAGATGTGGAAAAGTCAAGATTGTTTACCGTCTATAATGTTTACCTGCTTTATTTATCAGGTGCAAAGGCGTTTCAAAGCTGTTCATATATCCGGTTTGGAGCTTCAGTACATGGGTCAGCAGACAATGGGTCACTATCCAGTCCATTTTCACATGAATGGAGATGTGGATGAGAAAGGAGGCTACAGCCCCCCAACATTTGTCAGTGATCTATCCATTCATCACTCTTTCTCACGCTGTGTTACAATCCATGGCTCCAATGGACTTCTGGTTAGTGTAAAAGTCTTCTCCCTGCATTTTCACTACAAAACAAATATAGATGAACAAGAACAAATAAAATATATCAAGTATGTGAATATACTGGACCTAATCAGTAGGTGTAGCATCTTCTGATGCTGATGCAGCATCACTCTAATTTCTTCACAACCTTTCCTTCCTTACATTGCCGGCTCATTCCTGTCAGAAATTTCATCATAATCAGAAGGAGCTCTGCAAATATAACCACTGCTTCACGTGACTCAACTGCACTATGTTGTTTCACGTTAGCATGTCAGTAAAGATCATTTATAAAATAATGAAGTAATTTTCAAACTTAAATACACAACAAAAAATGTATTTATCTGCAAAACACTATTTCCTCACGCATAATGATGAATATTACTGCCAATGACTATACATACCAGTTGGTGTTGCCAGGTCATTCGGTGTCCAGTCAACTGCTCGGTAAAATCTCTCTGCTTTACCTCAGAGCTATCATTTGATATAAATCCCCTCTACTGTTGTGAAATGTGTTAAAATTATTTTCTTGTCAAGAGACACAGCATTTTCACTGCTAGTGTATAGTTGTGTGAATTCAACTCAAAAATACTGGTAACACTTTATTTGACGGAGTGTAAATAAGACTGTCATGACACCGTCGTAAACACGACATAACACCTGTCATGAACATGAGTAAGTCTTCATGAATATTTATGACTGTTGTCAAAGTGTCATTTGGTAAATCATGACACTTTTAATATAAAGTTGACATTATTCAAAATGTCTTTATGACAACTTCACCTTAACCAAGAATCAACACATGTCATAATTATGTCATATAGTAGTCATAATAATGTTAAGTGTTGTTACACTGTCAAGCAAAACAGTAACAAAACAATAATTAATATTCCCCCTACCTGAAACAAAGCAAAACAAGTAGGACCAACAATAAAGATTTCATTAAGCTTTATTACACTGTCAAATGATTGAATAAGCGTCATTAATAATCCCTTTTTCGTCAAGTGGAACAAGTAGAAACAGTTATGAAGATGTCATTAAGTGTTATTACAGTTCCAAGAGCTATAATGACAGTCATTAATAGTAACTCTTACCTCAAATAAAGTTAAACTAGTAGCAACAATTATAAAGACGTCATTTTGTGTTATTACAGTATCAAATGCTATGCTAACAGAGTTATTGATATTAAGTCCTACCTCAAGTAAAGTGAATCAACTGAACTACCATCATAGTTGTACAACAAACCCTTTGTACAATGGAATAAAACAAAATGTTACTTGTTCTTCAAACAGAAGGTTTGACTTCTGGTCAGTATATTGTAACTCTGAAACACTGACTGAAAAGCTAAAACAGAATTACTTATTCTTTAACTTAAGAAAACAGCTTCTTTCAACAGTCAGCCATCTCCTTCGTAATAGTCTTCC